TCTTTGGCTGTTTTTCGTATGTTTGACATTGCTAGCAACATTGTTAGGTCTCACTTTACATGTTATAGGCCCTTGGCTTTAACTTCCCTATTAAGGGCAAAAAAGAAGGGAGAATTCTGTATTGGCTAGATAGTAGATGATCTCTGAGGTCCTTTCTGTGTATTTTGTGTTCTGGTTTTTCTACTGAGCTGTATACATGTTTTTTAACAAACCCTGAACACATGAATGAATATGTATAACTAATGAGGCTTACTACTATAGCAAAAGCCAAGTTTGGCTTGCTTTAAAAAGAAGAGCCTCCTTAAAGTGATTTCAAGAGATATAATATAAACAAACAAACAAACAAACAAAAAACCACTCAGCAACCCATACTGGAAAAGTCCTGTATTACTGTTGAATGTGAATTTCTTCTACTTGATAACCTTTTGTTTTGGAAAAATGGTTCACACATTATCAGAAAGACATTTAATGTGTTTAATAGTTCAAGGGTAAGCAGCCAGAAATTGTGATGCTTCTTGGTTTCAAATTAGTTAACATTGTGTGTGTGTGTGTGTGTGTGTGTGTGTGTGTGTGTGTGCACGCGCACGCACAGGTGCATGCACACAAGCATGCGTAAACGCTGTCAGTCAAGTATGACTCTTGCAACTCCATGGACTGTAGCCCGCCAGGCTCCTCTGTCCATAGAATTTTCCAGGCAAGAATATTGGAGTGTGTTGCCATTTCTTACTCCAGATTATTTAATTTCATATTCCCTTTTAAGTGTGTAAAGTTTTAGAGTACTACACAACTGCAGCATTTATAGTTGTACTTCCTTATTTCCCAGATATCACTACCTGCCCTTTTGTTCTCTGAGAGTAATACCAGTGGTTGTATTTGTTTCGTCAACAATTCTTTTATGCTGTGTCTTAATACACAAAAAAATCTTTTAGTGTTGGCCCATAGGTATGAGTTATCATTTTAATCGTGGAAAAAATGATAAAAATTTTAAATATAATTATGAATTTAATAATGATTAAATAGCTAGCAATTTTAAGGGTCTACCATGTTCTAAGCACAGTTCTGAGTGCTTTCTGTATCTTATAAGAGTGTTAAGTATTTTAAAGATGTGTTATTTCCACTTTATATACAAGGCTTCTTTAAACTTATGGATGTCACATTGAAATGTAATAATCAGGAAGCCTCACACGGAGTATTTAGCAGTGTTTTTTTTTTTAAGCAAATGTGCCTCTTTACATTACCTGATATACAGTAGGTAGACAGCAGATGTAGAATTTCATCACCCTCTCCCTAAACTTTGTGTTTCTTTTAGTGTGTATTTTTTGTTGAAATACAGTTTAAAGTTGATGACATATGTAATTATGGGTTTGATTGAAAGAAACTAAACTGTATCATGTTTTGAATTAAAATGAGATTACTTTTTTTCATATCTGATTTATTAGTAATCCTGGTTTCCATTAACAAGATAGAAAAGATCTCTGCTTCAGTGACTGAAAATTTTACTAATGATTAATATATGCTAGCCATCAGATGTTCTGTTTATTTTTCTCCTCAAACTTTAGATTAAAACCACTGCCTCTTATCTTTCCAATTTAGACCCCTAATAGCAAGATTGGTGAATATAAGCTTCTGATTGTATTTTCTTGGGCCTCCCCGGTGGCTCAGATGGTAAAGAATCTGCCTGCAATTCAGGAGACCTGGGTTCAATCCCTAGGTGGGGAAGATCCCCTGGAGAAGGAAATGGCAACCCACTCCGGTATTCTTGCCTGGACAGAGGAGCCTGGTGGGCTACAGTCTGTGGGGTCACAAAGAGTCGGACACAACTGAGCAACGAACACTTACACTTTCTTTACCAAGGCCAGAGTTTAAGGCTTCACTTCCTATCCCCACCACTTCCACCACTACCTACCCACCCATGCCCCAGGGAATAGTGAGTTGCTTTATTAATTCTGACTTGTTATTAACCATTTTACTTCATTCATTTTCTCAACCTGCCCTTCTTCTTTCCCTCTTTCCCTCATTTTACCCCCTTAATAAGAGCATTCTTTGTCTTTTCAAATTTGTTACTTTAGCCTTTGGCTTTGGGGGGTTGATTTTGCAGTTTGTTATTCCCATTCCTCAAGTCAGTCTATGATACATAGGTTGTTTGATTTATTAAAATATCTTACAATCAAAAAACAAAGTGATTTCTTCTTGCCACAGAATGGTTACCATTGCTTCCCCCTTTGGTGTTTGAGATTGCAGTATTTCAGTTGCTGTGGAAATCATTTATCTCTTCATGGCACCTGACTCTGATGAGCACTATTGGTAGTTAAGACAAGTTTGCTGCTGCCTCTAGATGTACTGACATACTTTTGTGTTTTCAAAGGAAGAAAATACCACAATTATGAGAGAACTGCATTTATTCTCATAAAACCACTTGTTTTTCCCATGTCTGATTTTGCTGTAAGGTTTTGAACTAGATTTCTGCTACCCATAGTGTGATGTGAATGGTAACGTTGTGTTGTGAATGATTTTGAGAAGAAGCAGGGCCTCCCACCCATGAGAAAGATTTGATATTTGCATTGTGAAGTTCTTGTAAATTGTAAAGGAAGGAACTGGCAAGTAGGAATTTTTTAATTGGGGGCTGTCCATTGGCGCTATGGGCTCTTGATGATTGCAATTTGAAAATTTCAAATCTTAGGAAGATCTTAGGAGCCAAGATCTGAATTCTTAATTAAGATCTGCATAATTCAGCTCTTAGGAAGGTTAATCAGATTAATTAAAGTTTTAACAAAGTTTCTCTGATTTCAACAAATTGTTAGTTAAGGCCAGTAGAAAGCATCAACTGATTATGTGATCCCTTAATATTTCTCACCTGCTGAGAAATGATTGGAATGATTTGCTAATACCTGGTAGAAAACTGATTGTTTTTTTATAGTAATTGAATGGTTTAATGGTTAATGTGACCTTGAAGTCTGTACCTCCCTTGAATATTGTATATAGTTTTGAAATTTATGTTGTAAATTTAAACCCAATTAAATACCTATATTTTCATAATTATTTTCCCATCTCCATTTTCACAAAAAGAGGATTTGGGACATACACAATTTCCAGGCAAAATTGTCTTGAAATCGAATTCCTAAAACTACTAAGCCAACCTGCCTGCCTGCCTGGCTCCCTTTTCTTCCTTCCTTCCTGGCTTCTTTCCTTCCTTCATTTTTTGCCAGGTCTCCTCTTTAGCTAGTATTTAATATCACTCATGAGGCTAATGCTGTGATGGGCATCTACTCTGTAATATCCACTTAATCCATTAGTGTGAAAGCAACAAGGACTTATTTTCTCCCTTTTGTAGGAAACAGCATTCCAACTGTTTTTTGACATCTTTAATTTCAGAGGTTGCCAGTGATCAGATGAGGGTCAAGATTGACTTTGAAATATTTTAGTAGTAAGCAGAAAGAAAAATGTGATCTAACTTTCTAGTCTCCTGATCTACACATCTTGACTGATGAATTAAAGCTGTATGGGTGTGAATTTTGGTATAGAGGCTTAGGCTGCATCAGCACCTTTTATCCCATAATAGGTGTGGAATGTGAAGATCTGAATTTTCATGGGGGCACTGATATTTCATGGTCAACAATGGGTTTTTTAAGGCCTTGTCATTTCAGATTGCCATGAGATCTGGTTATTGCTGCTCTAAACGTGTGTATGAACCTAACTCCCAATGAACTTATTGCAGTGGTGCTAACTTGTCTTGACACTCTTACCAACAGTTCTTGTGGCCCTGTGTGTAGTCACAGCACAGGTTTTTGTGGAGGATTCAGCCTAAATTTCTGGGATAAATTTCTATACACAAGAAATATATTGGCTTTAAAAATTAAGTGGTTTGATTCTGTTTTGAATTTGGATATCAAATGAATCTGAGCACATGACATTTTAATGCCGTTTGTCTTTTCAAATGGATTTACTTTCTAATGCATGTGACTACAGGACTTTGCTCATCAGCTAGAACATACATTTCAGAGGAGTTGTTACCTAAAATATTATCATAAGGCATGAGAAAACACATGATTTAAGTTGCCTTTCATGAACATAATTAAGAATTAATAAGCCAGTACCAGTGGCCAGTCCCCAGAATTTCCACTGTTTTGCCTTTTGTGACCTGTGTTATTAAAAGTCCATTATTTTTACAGACTTTATTAAATTGGATCTTATTAAAGCATTCTATATTTGCATTTGGTCTTTCATAATTCATTATTATTATGACATTTACTTTTTACCATCAGATCTGAAAACATATCATAAGCTACCCTTTTCTCTTGAAAGAAATGCTAATTTCAAACAGTCCTCTAATAGAAGAGAAAAGCTTTATCAGTTTTTTCATTTATTCCAGATCGTGTTAAGAATACTAATGCTAGACTTCGGTATGCTAATATCTCTGAGCTTTTTTTGGTCAAAAGCTTAGAATTATTATTTTTATCCCATACTAAGTATGAAACTAGAAGACCTGCTACTACTGGAGAAAACAACAATTCTAAAGTACAATTCTTTATTCTAAGGACCTGCAAAAATGTTGCTGAATCCTGTTTAGACTAGGATGCAGCTGGTCAATTTAACTTTTACCACCCAGTATTTGTCCTCTTGAAGAAATTCTTTCTTCATAAAATTCTTTTTGTTTGTTTTTCTGAGAGTTTAGGGTAATACAGCTTGTCATGTTTAAAACTCAGAATCCTATGCTGTCAGTCCTACTCAGCACTTAGGGTGTGCCGCCTGATTTTCTGTTTCCTGATAATAATTTCTCATATTGATTTCTGATAATCATTTCTATTCCATTTATGATGTAGTTGAAAACTTAATACAGTAAGATTTTATGTATTGATATCAGGCAGACTGTCTAATTTAATATAACTGAATTTTTTCAGTTATAATATTACAATTATAATAAGACTGAATTTTTTCTTTGGGTAGTAGTAAATTTCTTAAATTCTGAAATGAAGCTAACTTTGGATTTTGTCTCATTTTAGATTTCTGACAATGTGCAATAGACACTTTGGCAGTGTTGTTGCACAAACCATTCGGACTCAAAAAACAGATCAGTTTCCACTTTTTCTGATTATTATGGGAAAGCGATCATCTAATGAAGTGTTAAATGTGATACAAGGTAAAGTACATTCATAAGAAGAGTAGAGTGTCTCCTTATTTATGTAATAACCTTATAATATTTACCATTATAGCTGAAAATTATTCTCTGTATTGGTGAATATCTTTGCATTTTGAAATATAGAACATCCTGAAGAAGAATATCTTCAAAAAGTATAGGTGCTATGAAATATGAAATATACTACATGAAAATCCAATCGAAACACCTTAATAAAACTGCACAGCCCTTGGGATATAGGTTAATCATGTTAAATATTCAAAATTGCTAAGTTTTCTAAAATAGAAATTAAGTCATAATCAGTCATCAAAGATGATGTCATTTGTGTGTGTGTGTGTCTGTGTATACGTATGTATATTTCTTTCTTTAATTTTCATTGGTTGAAGGAAATCCTTATATTTGGTTATCTGGAAAAACTTGTGACTGGGTATTGTGAATTGAATAGTTCACTGTAGTAGTTATTTTTCCATATTTGTGTGAATCTATGTCTAGAATGCAACCTTGAGGTGTGAAGCTATAGAATGCCTGTCAATTTAATCACAGTGCACATTCTTTAGCAAAAAAATGAGTGTTACTAACATATATGTTACTAACATACCCTAAAGATTAGCATAAAAAATTACCTTATTCATGGCAAAGCTTAAATTGAAAACAGTTTCTTTTTTCTGTGCCACAGGGAAAACGATGTTTCAAGTGCTCCAAGCTAAAGCTTTTGTCTGAAATATTTAATTTCTGCCCCTATTTAAGCTAAAAGTTCGATAGCAGATAATGCAATAAGGAAGGGGTATAACTTCTAGTGCCATTCAAACTCAAATAAAACAAAACCTCCAGTATTTTATGTTTTCTCTATAACTAGAGCATTCACTTTTGTAAACAGTGTTAAAGAAGACCTGCTGGAGGGACAAATTACATAGATTAAATAGATAATGTTTCATTTCAGTTTTCCTGTCAGGGGCAATGTTAAAATAGCTAGTGGTTCTCAAAGCATGGTCCATGGGCCCTGAAGGTCCCCTAGACCCTTTGAGGGCATCTACAGGGTCAAAAATGTTTTCATAATAGTATACTTGTGTGTGTGTGTGTGTTTTACTGTGTTGACATTTGCACTGATGGCACAAAGTCAGTGCCATTTGAAACTGCTGGCACCTTAGCACAAATCAGGGCCATGACCCAGAACTGTACTAGTGGTCATATTTTCCACCTCCATGTATGTACATTTTTAAAAAATTATTTTATTAAATATTAAACCTTTTTATAGTTTATGTGACATAGTTGGGCAGACATTTCTCTAAAATGAACAAAGCGACAGCCTGTTACTTCAGGCTTTAGAACTAACATTTGTTGCCAATGATAGAAATTTGGTTTTTTAAGCAAAAAGTTAGAATGTCCTCCACCATTTAAGACTGACAGCTTAAATACTTTCCTGGTGACATCAGTGGTGGTACTAATAAATGTGATTTTTTTTTTACCATAAAATTAGCTGTGTCAGCATTCAAAAGAAATGAATGACTCAGTGAACCAATATTTTCCAGATGACCAGTGCATAATGTTATAAACTCATGCATGGGTAACAGACCTATTCAAAGGGCAAAATAAACCAATGGATTTTAATATAACACAGTACAGTAAGTTCACTGATACAGTTTCCAGTTCCTCACATACCTAATCTTAAAAAAAATCCCACTTGTCAGTTTGGGAATATTAAATTAAAAAATCTATAATTACCTATTGAAACACTCCCCTCTTTTCCAACTACGTATCTGTGTGAGGCCACAATTGCTTCATAAATTTTAACCAAGATGACACATAGCTAGTTTAATGTAGCTATAGATATGAGAATCCAATTGTGTTCTATTAAGCTTAACATTAGAGAAATTTGCAAAAATGTTAAAACAATGACATTCTTCTCAGTAAATCTTTCCTTTTGGAACATATGGTCATTTTTCATAAAACATGATGTTTATATTAGCAAATTATAAGTTTATTATTGTTACTTTTAAATGGGTGGATAACTATGTTTTAGATATTTCAGTTTTAATTTCCAACACAGTGGATGTTGGTAACCATATCCATGTAAAAATTTCTTCAGGGATCTCAACAGCTTTTAAGTATATAAAGAAATTCTTTTGCAATAAACTATAACAAATAAATTGTCCCTGAACTGCATTAACTGATACTTTTCTGCATCTTGAATCATTAAGGACTTAGGTATAAAGTACGTTCAAGTAGTTTGGCAATGAATCCGTAAATTAGGGTCGAAGCATAGTTGATAGGCAGTGGCTTTAAGCCTAAAATTAATGGCCATGATATAGTCACCTGTTCAGGGGACAGCAGAGGACAAGATGGCTGGATGACATCATTGACTCAATGGACGAGTTTGAGCAAGCTCCGAGAGATGGTGAAGGACAGGAAAGCCTGACATGCTGCAGTCCATGGGGTCGCATAGAGTCGGGCGTGACTGAGCGACTGAACAACAATAAAATTATATTTCCCCAATGATGGTTCTGGTACCATTACAAAGTATTCATGCCCCATGCTGTCTTAGTCACTATAGTTTACAAATAAGAAATGGAAACCCAAAGATTTTCCCAGTATGGAAATCTACATTGAAGTTACTCTTATTAAACTTCTACTGCTTATTTTATCTATCACACACAGTGATACTGTGTGTCCTTGGTACCAGGTACTTTATATTATCTCTAATCCTTCTAAGAACCCTACAGAGGGTTCTTATGTTCATTTTGCAGATAAGAAAATTGATTGTTTCATAGCTAGTCACGCCCTCTTTTCTTATTCACTTGTTTACTAAGTGAGTATTTATTAAGCCCTTGTCATGTGCTAGGCAGTTTCTAGGTACTAGATCATGTAAGAAGTAGAACTAGGGTTAGAACTCTGACTCTAAAACCAATTCTACTTCTTGGTAATGTTATATCACACCAAGATGATAATTGTTCTCTAGCTGATTTATGGAGAGAGTAGTGCTCGATGTGGCCAGATTAGATTATTTCTTTGACTAGAGACCAAAACTGCCCCCTAACCCCATGTTGCCAGTGATCATAAAGAAAACTGGGAAAGGACCATTGAAGGATCATGTTAGGCAGATGGTACTCTGGAATAATACAAGCAAGAATGCTTGTTATGTGTTGTCTCATTGGTAGCCATTCCATTAGTGGGACTAGAAGTCACCTTCTGAGGCCTTGGAGAAAGACAGGCTCTTTTGCCTGTTGGTTTGAAAGAAGAGAAAAATTGCTATATCTTTATGGATCTTCATGATTTTCTCTCTTGTAGATGCATCCAAAGCAAATAACAAGACTCAATGAATGCAAAAAATGGCATATATGTGCTATATGTTTGTTATGGACTTGGAAAGAGAATAAAATAGCATTCAAGAAGATCAAACATTTTAAATATCCTGTCCATAAAGATTGTATAGCATAGTTATTTGAAATCACCTAAAAAGGAAAAATAACATTCAGGGGAAAAAAACCTTTTTTTTTTCCCCAGAAACTGAATTACTGTTTGTTTCACTAAAGAAATTTTAGTAATAGGAGATAATTCTAAGTAAACAGTGTGCTAAAGTGGCAAAGAAGACAGTCTTTTGAGTCAGACTCATATGGTTTCAAATCCTGGTCCTATAACTTAACCAACTTGACCTTGTTTAGTCAGGTTACTTGAGCTCTGTAAGCCTCATTTTCCTTCTCTTTACTATCAAAATCATAATGAGCCTTCATAGAATTGTTATACAGATTAAATGAGATTATATATATATAAACCTAATCATTTAACCTAATCACTGGCTTACAAACAAATGGTAGTAGTTGCCAGTGTTGTTAAGTAGATATGTTTTCCTAATTTGAAAGATACTTTTTTCCTTGTGACTTGGATGTTCTAAATAGTGCCAAAAAAATCTTTATAAAGAGACTGTTCTCACAAATCTAAGTATTCTGAAATTTCAACTGCCAGTGTACTGCATTACTTTGTTATTGAAAATAAACTTTCCAATGCAAGCATGAAAGTCTTTATTGGCATGCATGCATGCTAAGTCGCTTCAGTCATGTCCGACTCTGTGCAACCCCATGGACAGCAGCCCACCAGGTTCCTCTGTCCATAGGATTCTCCAGGCAAGAATACTGGAGAGGGTTGCCCTTTCCTTCTTCGTTTATTGACATGCTAGTCTGTAATTTTTTAGACTGTAGTTATTCCATACTGATAAATTCTAGAGCAGCTTCCCAATTTCTAACCTTGATGTAAAGTTTGGCAATCTCGTGTGTTGCTAGGTAACACAACAGTGGATGAGTTAATGATGAGACTCATGGCTGCAATGGAGATCTTCACAGCCCAACAACAGGAAGATATAAAGGATGAGGTAAGGTGAAAGGTTAAGTGGACCTTTAATAGGATTTTGATGAGATAATTTGTCAAATAGTGATGTTTGCCTATGTCATGATTGATAAACAAGGCATTGATGAAGATGCATTTCTACATGAATCAAGGATTTTTATGCCACTGAATTTACCTTTCAGTCCATTCTTTTCATGACCCAAAGACCCAACAATTTGTTTAACTTTATGAAGTTATACTTTGCTAGATTTGCAATTTATAGGAAACAAACTCTGAAGCATGCTTACAGGAGAAGCTATATAGTCCAGTACTATTATATGGGTATTTCACTCCCTTTTAAGGTCCTATTACTCTTTTTGAGATTGATTACCAATAAACACATTTTACATTTGAACATATTTTTGAATCACTGTGAAAATTAGTTAAAAGATCACCAGAATTCTGAATTTCTGTGTCTCTCAAACATTTAGATGGCATAGATGACATGGGCATGGAACCTCAAATAAAATAGAATAATAATAACAGCAATATTAATAATACAATAGTAGTCAACACTTACTGAATATTTATAATGTATTAATACTTGGCACTATTCAAAGCACCTTTCATTTATCATCTCATGTGATTTTCTTAAAACAATCCCATGAGGTTGTATATAATTCAGAATTCTGGCTGGAACAGGTGATGCTTTCAAACTAGATTATTGAGAAGAGTTTAATAAGGTGACTATTTATAAAGATATGGGCAGAGTTTATAGGAGTCATCAATAGATGGTATGCTCTAGGGCTAAAGGGAGCCATTACCACCCTTAGGCCTGAAGGCCTAGGGAAGGGTAGTGTGTGGAGACGATTGCTTCTTTCAGGGTCAGCCCTTTTGAGCTGGTAAGGAGGAAACTAAGGAATAGCTTCCGTTCCCTTTTATACTTATGATCTCCTGCTAGTACCTTCTATTGACCTAACCCAACTAGCAACTGAAAGGCAGGCAAGAGAACCTCCCTGGGCAAAAAACTAGGTAGAGCATTAAAGTGAGAAGTGAAAGTGAAAGTCGCTCAGTCATGTCTGACTCTTTGTGACCCCATGAACTATACAGTCCAGGTAATTCTCTAGGCCAGAATACTGGAGTGGGTAGCCTTTCCCTCTCTAGGGACTCTTCCCAACTGAGGGATCAAACCCAGGTCTCCCACATTGCATTTGGGTTTTTTTACCAGCTGAACCACAAGGGAAGCCCAAGAATACTGGAGTGGGTAGCCTATCCCTTCTCCAGTGGATCTTCCTGACCCAGGAATTGACTGGGTCCTGCACTACAGGGAGATTCTTTACCAGCTGAGCTATCAGGGAAGTTCAGGTAGAGCATGGGTGAAAGAAAAGTGAAAGTGTTAGTTGCTCAGTCTTGTCCAACTTTTTGCAACCCCATGATCTGTAGTCCGTCAGGCTCCTCTGTCCATGGAATTCTCCAGGCAAGAATACTGGAGTGGGTTGCCATTCCTTTCTCCAGGGGATCTTTCCAACCCAAAGATTGAACCTGAGTCTCCTGCACTATAGGCAGATTCTTTAGCATCTGAGCCATCAGGAACTGGATGGCCAAATGGAACATAATCCAACACAGATTGCTACTGTCATCTCTACTTTTCAGATGAGAAAACTGAGAATCAAAAAGGTTAATTTACCCAAGGTCACACAGCTAGTAGGATCTATGTTAATCTCAAGTAATTATTAGTGCTTTATCAGTCAAGAAATTTCTGGATTTGAAAAGCAATCTAAAGGTAAAATATGAAACAAATTTTATCATATTAATTTGAGATGCTAAATTCATATATCAAATTATTTTTTAATTTTTCTTTGTTTTTAATTTTTAAAGAAAGAGTTACATAGAACAAATAAAGGAGAGTTTGATTTTTGAGCAATAATGTAAATTGGTATAATGAGTGTTTTCAATACAATACCCTTGGCTATTACAAATGGAAAACATGTGAACAATTTCAGTATAACCTTTAATATTGTGTTTAACTTTATTTGTCTCTGTCTTCTGTTAGACTGAGTTTAAAAGCAAGGGTTATATCATATTCATATTGTAACTCTGTCTTGTAACAGTTTGGGCTTCCCTGGTGGCTCAGTGATAAAAGAACCTGCCTGCCGGTACAGGAGACATGGGTTTGATCCCTGAGCCTAGAACATCCCCTGGAGAAGGAAATGGCAACCCATTCCAGTATTCTTGCCTGGGAAATTCCCATTTCCTCTGTGAGAAATCCCACAAGAAGAGTCTGGTGGGCTACAGTCCATGGGGGTCACAAAAGAGTTGGACACGACTTAGCAACTAAACAATAACAAACTTCTCACAGTATTCACTTCAGTTCAGTCGCTAGTAGGTACTTAAAAAATGTTTGTTAAATGACTAAATAAATAAATTATTGAAAGAACTTATATAAAATAATGTGACTTGAAAGAATAATACTTAATTACGGTGGTATAAAACCTGATGTATCCACATTAACAAATATGAAAGTTCAGAGTGCTATAACTAGAATTTTAATACTCAGTAGGTTCCTTTCATTGCTGTAAAAATTTTGTTTGTAATTTTTCCTAATAGTGTTTCATTTACTCTGAGGGAAAGGTAATTGGATATATGGTAGAAAGATGTTTGTTACTTTACAAATTGACACTGACATTTTGAAATTATGAAGTACTGTACTTAGTTAGGAATTTGTAATAATTGGTGTGTTGCCATTCAAGAGTACATTTATCCTGGAATAGAGGCATTGATTGACAATAATGCACTAAATGCGTTCTTCAGGCATTTAAATCTTGAGTCTCATTAGTACTAGATTTACAGATTATGCTGTATAATAATATGAATGTATAATATTTGCATGCATATTCCCAGTTCATGCTTTCATCTTAATTTGTGTTCCTCATAATTCATTGGTAAGAAAATTGACTTTAATTCCTTTAATACTGAGCACAAAATTTAATATGAAGGTTACAGGAAATGTCTAAGACTCCATATAATTGAAATTTTTTATTGAAATTTAATTGCAAGAGATAAGGGTTTCTTCTTGTTTTTAGGGTATCTTCATGAAAGTTATCTTTCAGGTCATAAATAGAATTCCTAAGAAAAGCTTTTCTAAGTTTAAAATTTTCTCTTGAACTATGCACAGATCATGATTTGGTATCTGCTGAGTAAGTGATAAGAAACACTGTCTCTTGTAATTGTGAATTTGGCTTTACTTCTTTTAAAGTTTCAAATAAGACTTAAGCATACAGTTAAAATGGAATTTGTGAGCAGGTTTGAAGGATGACTTCCTAGGCCTGAATTTATTTAAACTTAACTTTGGTTCACTTACGTTCATCACTTCAATGATTCCATTGTATTAGTACAACCAGAAATGCCTATATTATAAAGCTTTTATTAAATAGAACCAAGCACAAACTATATATTAATGACTCATTCTTCAGTGGCTCAGAAGGAACTAACCTTTATATCATTAATTGTTCTGTCTCTAACCAGGAAGTATAAAGTACATGAGCCTCTGTTTTGACAGAACTACCTCTTCATAGCTTTATTTGTAGATATTTTTGTTAATGGTATTAATTTGACTTTCCAAGTGTTTACTGAGCATCTATGAAAGGTACAGCACTGAGCTCGGTCCTGGGGACAGAGAGGTACTTTGCTCTAGTGAGGAGCTGTATCTTTCATAGATGCTCAGTAAACACTTAGAAAACCAAATTAATACCATTAACAAAAATATCTACAAATAAAGTAGTGTATTATTATATTACTATCTATTTCTTCCTTTAAGTCTGTTAATATTTGTTTTATGTATTGGGTTGGCCAACCGAATATTTAGGTGCTCCTTTTTTGGGATACATACTTTAAAAGGGTTCTTCATCCAGTGACTTTTCTACATAGTTAGTCCCCAATCACAGCAGATGATGTTTTGTGTCATGTTGCTTGTATATTCATTTCATATTCTTTTTCTATGCACCAGATGTAGGGTACCAGTAACACAGCTGTAGCAAGACAGACAGGGTCCTTGGACTTACCAGCATTTCCAATAAGTCTATGAAGCTGTCAGGTAGATGAAGCCCCAGGAGCACCTATCCAGGGCGAGCTAGGCATGCTGTGTAGGCAGCTTGACGTGGAGCACACAGAGGGGCTCTTGCATACTGCCAGTGCAAGCTAAGAGGCAGGTAGAAGAGACAAGAAATAAGGTAATAATAGTAGTCATTCTCCAGGTTTGTTCTACATGCCAGGTATAGTTCTAATCTCTAAGGCGATGTTTTTCACTGTGTTTCCCAGATTACTGGTGTACTCAGCTATCTGTCAAGGATTACAGACAGCTAGTTTGAACAAGCAACGTAGTCAGTTTTGTTCATGTTTATTTCATATTTTGAAATGTAAGAAAATTGCAGTATCCCTCCAAATCCTGTTTCATTCATCGTATCTTTTACAATTTATTAAATTCCTCATGTATTACAAGGATTGCATTGGTTGTTTAGTCTTGACAAATACTCATTTGACTGCGGCAGTTGATTGCAGCTTCTGGACTTTCATGTCATTCATGTGTTACTGTTAAATTTATGTTCATATTTTCTTGCTTAAATTAGTTATATTCTTAGTTCACCAGAACTTTTCATGGCTTACATGTGGTTCATTGAAGCATAAAGATAATAATGAAAATACTATAAATGAATACTATAAATCAGGAGATTTCCCTGGTGGTCCATTGGTGAAGAATCTGCCTTCCAAAGCAGAGAACACAGGTTTGATCCCTGGTCAGGGAATTAAGTTCCCACATGCTGCAACTACGAAGCCCACAGGCTCTGGAGTCCACACACCACAGGTAGAGAGAAGCACATATGCTGCAATGAAAGATCTTGCATGCCACACCAAATATCCCATGTGCTGTAACAAAGGCCCAATTTAGCCAAAAATAAAAAATAAAAGTAACTATTTAAAAATGCTGTAAATCAGTATGGACAGTTGAAACTAGTGTAACATCAGTGTAAACATAATTGAGAGAACTCT